GAGAGAGAGAACAGGAAGCAGGCTCCCTGCTGAGCAGAGAGCCCGACGCGGGGCTCAATCCCAGGACTCCGAGATCATGACCCGAGCCGAAGGCAGAGGCTTTAACCCACTGAGCCACCCAGGCGCCCCACATTTCTCAAGCATTTATTAAGAAAACAGAGAAAATAGATACTGAATGGTTTGGAAGTTTTTTTTAAGAAAGTGCAAAGATAGGATCGCCTGGATGGTTCAGTCGGTTAAGCATCTGCCTTCAGCTGAGGCCATGCTCCCAGGGTCGGGGGATCAAGCCCTGCTTCAGGCTCCCTGCTCAGTAGGGAGTCTGCTTCTCCCTCTCCCTCTGCCTGCCCGAGCTATACTCTCACTTGTTCTCAAATAAATAAAATCTTAAAAAAAAAAAAAAAAAGTACAGTAAGATAACTGGAGCATCAGAATCAACATTTCCACAAAAACTCTAAAAATCTTTTCAACACATGACCCTGTAACTAAATTTAAATTCAAACAAATCTCAACATCAAGATATGTTTCACCTATGAAGTCATTCTATATATCCACTACTGATCACTTCTCTTTTTAAAATTCTCCAAGCATCACAGGAAATATAAAAAGGCCTCTGATATTAGGCCTCGCCACCTAAGGGACCATAGAGATCCTAAGAGACATAATAAAAATATGACTGTCCCAGAACTATTTATCTCCGGTGTTACAGACACTTGTTTCCTAGCTCACATCCACCTACATCACCTCCTGCACCCAAGAGTTCACACACATAACAATAAAGGCTTCAGTATTTTTTAAATGTCAGTTACAGATAGTATTAGAATATACAGTATATTCTAGATATGAAAATATGTATCATTACATAATTAATCTAACAATCATTATTTACCCTAATTACATATCACTTTTTATAGTCTTCTTAAGTCTAAGAGACAAAGTTTTCAAAGTGAAGAAAGCCTGTCCTTCAACAAGGTAAACCAGCTTTCAGGCAAGATGGCCCAATGTGAAATGAAGTAAGAGGCCAAGCTCTTTCTGCTGCCTGTTCTGAGTAATATACTATAAAATATAAACCAAATATTGAATTTATGAGAATATTTAAACTTAAAGCAATATGTAATTCTAAAATAATGAGAGGCAAGAGATGTCACAAGGGAAGACTTTCACAACCTGAGACATTCAAACTCTCACAACTTGTTATTCATATATATATATATATATATATATACTTAAAAATTTATGCACATAATGAGGTTCTAAAGCCAAAACATAATCACACACAAAAAAATCTAAACCTAAACTAATAGGTTAAAGGATTGTTTTTAAATTAAGTATAAACTGATTTTAAATTGCAGTTTAAGCTAATTTTCCAGTGCAATTCAAGCACAGAAGTTCTTACTTTGGGTAAGAGTAGAGGGAATAAAAATGTCCAGAAATTCTATGCAAAATGCCCACGCGTTCAATTTCCTGGAGAGACAGCCACAGGTTTCATTAGACTCCAAGAGGGGTCCAAAGCTCATGAAGGAATTACCAATTGCTACTCAAAAACTAATACACTGTTAGTCCCATCACTTTTTTAACTTCAGTAAATCATGAAGGCAATCAAAAAAAAAAAAAAAAAATCCAGAATTAACTTGGGTTCTGAAAAATCCTTTTTAAAACAATGTCAAAGGAAGTTTTATAAAAAACCACTTTAGTGAATTTAATGTCTCTTAGGCTAATTTCAACACTCTTCAAGGAACCCTACAACAGATTTCTTAGATTAAGAATTCATTGTACAGTGGAATCTTGCCATTTCCAACAACCTGGATGGATCTAAAGAGTATATGATTTCCTGCCTATGTGGAATTTAAGAAACAAAGTAAGAAAAGAGAGAGACAAACCAAGAAACAGACTCTTAACTGTAGAGAGCAAATGGATGGTTACCAGAGGGGAGATGGACGAGGGGATGGGTAAAATAGGTGATGGGAATTAAGAGTACACTTATCACAATGAATATCGAGTAATGTATAGAATTGTCAAATCACTGTATTATACACCTGAAACTAATATGACACTACATGTTAACTATACTAGAATTAAAATTCTTAAAAAAAGAAATTTATTTTACAATAATGGAAAAGTAGAGGGTTTTATATATTCCATATACAAAAAATAAATTTTTAAGATACAAAAATACCACAGAAGAACAGAGATCATCTTTTATCTTTGTCAATCATAACCTCACCAATTCATATTATCATAGAGAGTGACACTGCTTTTTGAATATTTCCACCATAATTCCTTTTCTCCTGGATTTCCCTGAAATAATCTGATACGCTTTCATCGACTACAATGATATAATTAATCTAACTACATTTCTTTAAAATAACTTTCCTTTAAAATACCTTAACACTTCCCAACTCCTGCTATGAAATCAATTTAACCTTGATACCAAAACCAGCAAGACAAAAAAATTAACTATAGACTTACATCTCTTACGAATAAATTAGAAGTCCTCAATAAAATACTAGTAAACAAAACCTAGCACTAAGTAAAAGTGTTATATACCATGATCAAGTGAGATTTATCCCAGTAACATATGAGTAGTTTAATATTTGAAAATCAATTAATATAATACACCATATCAGCAAAATAAAAAACTAGTCTTATAATTATCTCAATAGATGGACACAAACATGAACAAAACTCAACCTTCACAGTGTTAAAAAAAAAAAAAAAAAAATTCACCCAACAAGCTACGAAAAGAAGGCAACTTCCTCAATTTGATAAAGGACATCTATGTAAACCTCACAGCTAACATTATACTTAATAGTGGAACACTAAATGCCTTCTCCCTGAGATCAGAAAAAGGTAAACACTATCACCACTCCTATTCTACACTGTACTAGAGCTTTTAGCCACGTCAATTGGGCAAGAAAAATGAAATAGAAGGCATAGAGAATGAAAAGAAAGAAGTATAACTACTTCTATTTGCAGAGGATATGATCTCATGTATAGAAAATCCTAAAGAATCCACCAAACAGCTTTAGAACTGATTGAGTCCTGCAAAGTTGCAGGATACAAGATCAATATAAGAAAATGAATTTATTCCTATAAGTAGCAATGAGCTAACTGAAAATGAAATTTTAAAAAATTTTAATTTAGAACAGCATCAAAAAGAATAAGAAATAATTAACAAGACAAGTGTAAAACTTATACTCTGAAACTACAAAACACTGGTGAAAAAATTCAATAATACTAAATAAACGGAAAATCATATATTTATAGATCAGAAAATTCAGTATTTTTAAGATAGCAAGAGTCCCCTAATTGATTTGCAGATTCAATGCAATCCATATCAAAATCTAAGTTGCCTTTTTTACATAAGTTGATGAACTGATTCTAAAATTCACAAGAAAATTCAAGAGACCCAGAAGAGGCAAAACAATCTTGACAGAGAACAACAAAGTTGGAAGACTTGCATTTACTGTTTTCAAAACTTACCACAAAGCTGCAATAATCAAGACTATGTGGTACCACCATAAGGACAGACATGGAGAGCAACAGAAGAGAACTGAGAGATGGACTGTCTCATCACTGCTTTCCAATTTTCCTCCATCATAATCAGACACCAAATGATCTGTGCAACATCGTCTCTACACAACACTAAGTTGAAATTCACTTTGTTGTACTACTGGTTCATATGTTTTTATTAATGAGCCAGGTATACTAGAAAAAAATGAGTAATCTTTAGCTGTTAGGAGCAGAGCTCCATATATATTCATTACCCCAATCTTGTCATTTTCTTGTTCACATCTTCTATGGTCTCAATAAATGCTTCTGCCTGCTTGGTCTTAGGATATGTGTTAAGATATAAGTTAATATCTCCAACAAAGATTATAGTTTTGGTGGGTGGAGGGATAGGCGATGGGGATTAAAGGGTACACTTACAATGAGGAAAGAAAAATTAAATTTTTTAAAAATTACATTTCTATTCATTTCTCCTTGTACATCCGGCAATCTCTCCTTTAAAATTTGAGACACTATTATTTAGTCCAGGTTCACGTTTATTACATGTCACCAAAGCACTGTTCCTTGTATCACTGTACAACAGTCTCTTTGTTTTTTGGCTTTCAGTGGTTTTCTTTGTCTGATACTGACATAACCATATAAGCTCTTTTTGGTTCATATTTCTCTATCAGTGTGGGTTTATCAGACAAGTGGAACCACTATAAGTGATAAGAATAAAGAGTTACTATAGATGTGAACAGTAATTGTGGGAGCTAATTAAGCAAGTTTGGTAGAACGGTTGATTCTGCCTCTAGGGTTAGGACGGAAATCAGAGGGCAGGCAATGGGCAAGGATGAAATGATATGAAATGGGGAAGTGCAAGGACAAACTGGCCCATCTGTTTCTCATCAACCTCAGTGATGTGGTTACCCGTAGTATAATCTAGCATTCTTTACTGCAGAGCCCACATATCTAACCAAGAATTCAGAAAAGCTGAAAGACATGATCCAGTAGGAACTGGAGAGGCTGTAGACCAGGTGTATCAACTGCAACAGTGCCTGACTCCAACACCAACCCTGTAAGCATCAAGCCAGCTACGACTTCGCTTCCACCTTACAAATGTTGTGCTGGTTTCTCTTGTAGCCTGCACAACCGGGAACCATCCTGGAAAGGGAGTCCTAGGAAATGGAGTTCCAGCTCAGTTATGGTGACACAATATAAAGCCACCGGAACGTGCATGGATATCTATTTCCATCTCCTTAATTTTATTCTTTCTGTAAAATAATGTTTTAAGTATGTCTCTTGAAAATAGCACATTGCTGGATTTTTCTTTCATCCTATCTAGACTCTATCATTTAACGATCATGTTTAATACACTTACATTTACTGGGGTTTATGACTTTCATAACTTAAAAGAACTATCTTTTAAAAATGAAATAAAGTATCATCTGTACCAGAGATATAGGCATGATTTGCACTCCTTAAGTATTTTATATGCACGACTTGTTACTTACCACTTCTCCAGCAGAGGCGGCCAACATATGCTTCACAGGCATTAAATATGAAGACGAATCGGTGTGCAAAAACCATTTCACATATTCATAGGTGATAAAAAAAGCAGCAGCTGAAATTTAAAACAAACCAGTCTTTCACAAAGTTTAAATATATATTCAAACTGTTTAGAAATGTTTCTCAAAAACAATTACAACTTGAATTATTAAATTATGAGGTAAGAGAAAAGATAATAGTTGAAACACATACTCTTCCCCCCTGCCCCACTCTTGTAGAATTTACAGTGTCCATGTTATATGCCCAAACCTGGACTTACTAAAAATGCCGAAGACAGGATCCCAGCCCTGAGGAGCCTAAGAGCTAAGCTTACATTCACCATTTTGTATTAATAAGTCACTTGACATTTTTTAGTAATTACTCTAGAATAAGATAACGAATTTCTGTGATCCTAATTATCTTTACATACAATAAAACAAGCCACTATGCTGATTTATAGACAGGTTAAGACTGAAAACATATACTTTAACTAAAACATCTACTTGATAATGTTTTATTGCTATTCACTCAAAACAGCTACGGCCACTTTTTACCATATCATGTCACCTTTACATCAAGGAAATAATCAACTATTTAATTACAACTGGAAATCAAAATCTCAAAAAAGCTACCCCTATCACCATGAACTAATCTTAACAGCACAAGAGGGCTTTTAAAACCTGCCATGTACTGTTAATCAAAAGATGCTTATCACTTCCATAAAAGATAAGGCATGAAAGATAAATGAACGACAAATTCATCTTTTGAAGGACATTTGGACAAAATCACATTAAAGTCTAAAACACTCAGAAAAAGAGCTTCATAGTGAAATTAGTTTTCAACAGTTAAAGTCAACGAGCTTTTAAACTCTCCTCAGGCTGCTAACAAATAAAAACACTGGGCCAAATGAGGACTCTTGTAACTGAAGGAGTAATGACCAATGCAAACAGTTTTACATAATTAACACAGATCCCTATTCCCACAGTGGTTCTCAATAGGCTTTCCCTACTTCTGCACACTCACCAAATGTACACGAAATAACCGAATTCAGCAGTAAGTTCCACCTGCTACACATTTCACCCTCCAACCCCATCCCCAGGGAAGGAAGATAGTGCTACCAGTTTCTTGGTTTTCCTGGTTAATCACCTCAACCTGTTTAGACTATACTGCAAATTTGTGATAGACAAAATCTTTTAGAAATGTAAATCCCAGAGGCACCTGGGTGCATCCAACTCTTGATCTCAGCTCAGGTCATGATCTCAAGGTCAAGAGTTCAAGCCTTACTTCCGGCTCCACGCTGGGTGTGGAGCCTACTTTAAAAAAAAAAAAAAAAAAGAAAGAAATGTAAATCCCAAAATTCTCCAAGGTGACAACCAAGAAAACACCACTAATTGGAAATGATGTCACAAGGTTCCAAGTGAGGCTCTGGACAAGTTACAATAAAGAAAAGGAATTGGGCTGATATCTACAGTCTCTTCTAGCTCTTTTTTTTTTTTTTTTTTAAGATTTTATTTATTTGACAGAGAGAGAGAGACGGCAGGAACAAGTGAGCACAAGAAGGTGGAGCTGCAGGCAGAGGGAGAGAAGCAGGCTCCCCATTGAGCAGAGAGCCCGATGCGAAGCTCGATCCCAGGACCCTGGGATCATGATCTGAGCTGAAGACAGACATTTAACTGACTGAGCCACCTAGATACCCTTCTTCTAGCTCTTTAAAAACAAAAACCTACAGTTTTTCTACACTCCCTTCAAATAAAAGTAAAGATTCTGAATAGGGTCTGCTGTTTCCTCTTTCAACCCTCAGTCCCTTCTCCCCCAACTCTTCACCCGTGCAGAATACTGCAGTCCCCCCTTATCCCCAAGGTATTTGTTCAAGAGCCCCAGTACACGACTGAAATGATGCACAGTACCAGACCCTGTATATCCTGCATTTTCCCTATACATACATATCCGTGCTACAGTTTAATTTATCAATTAGCCACAGTAAGAGATTAATGAAACAGAACAATGCACTGTAATAAAAGTTAGGTGAATGTGGTCATTCTCTCTCAAATATACCTATACTGTACTCACCCTTTTTCTTGTGATGGTGGGAGACGATAAAATGCCTGCATGGTGAGATACAGTAAGATGAACGAGGTAGGCATGTGACGTGGCATTAGGCTACTACTGACCTCCTGATGATGCATCAGAAGGAGGATCATCTGCTTCTGGAAAACGACTCACCACGGGTAACTGAACCACCACAAGCAAAACCACGGATAAGGGGGGACCACCATATGGTCTAAGAAAAGTCTACAGCCACTGAATGTTACACAGGCGTATTGTAGGCAGACTAGAGCTTTAATGAACAGTAAAAGAAAAAAAAGGGGGGGGGCCACAGAGTAAACTTAACATTCACCAAAAATTTACAGAAAAATAAAAAGGCCATTTCTGAGCCACAGGCACTTTGACGGACTACCCAGCACCACCCATCCACTGATGTTCTATGGATGGCACAAAAACAGAGTAAGTAGGGCAAGAAAAACATTTTCTCCACATGCAAAAGTTGAAAACCACATGTACGTGAAGTCCTACGGGCAAGAATCTATTACAGTCCTGTGAGCCTGACAGCCCCATGTACTCCACAGACTATTGCTAATACTACCATCTACCAACATGAATTCCTCTCTGCAATTTGTAAGAGAAAGAGAATTTTTAGAATGATAAAGGAAATACCATAAGAGGTGTTTTGTTTTTTTTGTTTTTTGTTTTATGTTTTTTAATTCCAATGCCCAGGCCACACCTCAGGCCAGGGAAATCACATCTTTGAAAGTGGGACATAGGCATCGGTACTTTTTTAACCTCTCAGGTGATGGCACTGTGGTCAAATTTAGGAATAGCTACATCTCTCCCACATAGAAAACTACATGTGACAGGGAGCAGGTGCTCCAGAATAGCTTCCCTACAGTCAACTCCTTACTGTAGTAAGACAAATGAAAATTGAAGAATAACCTCAAAGACAGTTTGCTGTTCTAAGGGCTGCTGGGAGAGGGAGAAGAAAGAGAGAGACCAAAGGACCAAAACACTATTTTCTCTCTTCACTACCTATCTTTATGTGAATATTATGCTCCAGGTGAACACAGATGAACACCTAAATGTCAGGTGAACATGAAAGAATTCCTCATGAACTATCCTGAGAAAAACTCGAGTTTAAGAATCTCCTAGAGCAGAGGTTAGTCTATAATTGAGTGTGTGTGTGTGACAGTTTTGTTCGCTTGCTTTGCTAGTGAGTGCCACTGAAAGTGTCAGTAAACAAAATAAGTATCTGAAAAAAGTACATTGAAAAGTAGATTTAAAAAAACAAATTATACTGGGCGCCTGGGTGGCTCAGTGGGTTAAGCTTCTGCCTCTGGCTCCGGTCATGATCCCAGGGTCCTGGGATCGAGCCCCACATCGGGCTCTCTGCTCAGCAGGGAGCCTGCTTCCCCCCTGTCTCTCTGCCTACTTGTGATCTCTGTCTGTCAAATAAATTTTTAAAATCTTAAAAAAAAAAAAAAAAGATTATACTGATTACAAAGTAAGAGGACCATAAATCACATAATGTGACTCCAAACCTACAACAAAACAAGACACTCAAAGGAGAGTATACAGGAGGAGGGTAGTGGGAGTTGGCTGTATCATCTAAGAGCAATTTAGTTAAGACAGAAAAGGTTTAAGGCCTCTCAGGTTCATGTGCTCCCAAAGAATCTCCAAGGCAGTAGTTATTAAACTCAGCCTCACAGTGGAATCACCTAGGAAGCAACTAAACCCCCTGATACCCAGGCAAAGCCCAGACCAATTAAACTTACTGAGGTGACATGGGCATCGGTATTTTTTAAAGCTTCCCAAGAGATTCCATGGGCGGGCAAGGGTGACAACCACGGCTCTGAGGTATGACAAGCAATATTAGAGTAACATTTTCAAGATTCTAACTGGGAATTTTAACAAGAAAAACCATTTTAGAAAGATTGCTTATATTCTATTACAAATACAGCGGAATGGGATCTCTAGCACTAGCTGATTCAAAGCAGTGGGTTAATGAATTGAAAACAAATTCAAGAGATAAGCACAACACATGAGCAATTCCACACAGGGTAACATCACATAGCATCCTGAAAGTAAATCTCATTATCTTGGTTTTCTAGCAGTGAGAATATCAATGTAATTTTTACCATTAGGAAAGGATCCAATAGCAGCAGAAGGAACACCAGCATAGATTCCATGAAAACCACCAGCCTTATTAAATCCTTGTGGACTCTGAAGCCTGGTTTTAATGGTATCCAGAGGAAATAATATCAAGTCAACAGCGACACCTGCTACCCCACCAGCCTTTAAAAAAAAAAAAAAAAAAGAAGGAAAGAAGGTTAGAATCAAATAAGCTCTCTGCCATATGGGGGTAGGGATAAGACAAAAGTAATCTTTAAACGTATTTCTCATACCTATCAGTCCACAGCTTATCTGGCATAGTCAAAGGAACTTCTACCTAAATTTATGGATTTTTCCCTAGGGAAGTAACTACTGTTGTGCTCTATTCTTAAATTGTAATTTTTTAAATAAGTTTTTATTTTAAAAATGTATTTTTAAATTCATTTTTAATGCCTCCACATGGTTCAAAAGTCAACAAGCAACCTCAGAAAGTTCAAGTCTCTTTCCGCAGTCTAACAACTCAGGTAGCCGCTTTCTGCTGGGTGCTTACTGTATCCTTCTGAAGTTACTCTAGGCATATACAAGCAAACAGGAAAACGTACTTTATTTCCCTTTCTGGAAAAAAATGTATATACAATATGCACTGTGCTGCTCCCTGCTTTTATCACTTAATTTATCTTGCTGATCTTTCCATATCAGACGAAATGTATTTTTGTCTTTCTACCAAATGAGTAGTAAAACTGAAGTCAGTCCATTTGGGGAGAGACTTCCATTTTGAAATGGGTACTTGTTCTTGGAAAACTAGATCTGTATTTTAAGATTCATACCATCTAAGAATTCCTGTAGTATTCACACTCCAGTGTGTATATTTAAAAATTCCTTGATAATTTTTAAATTAAGTAAAAAAAAAAAAAATGGGGAAAAAATTAAGTTCCCAGAGCATATTAAAACCTGGCCCCGTGGGGTGCCTGGGTGGCTCAGTGGGTTGGGCCTCTGCCTTTGGCTCAGGTCATGGTCTTAGGGTCCTGGGATTGAGCCCCGCATCGGGCTCTCTGCTCAGCGGGGAGCCTGCTTCCCCCTCTCTGTCTGTCTGCTTCTCTGCCTACTTATGATATCTGTCTGTCAAATAAATAAATAAAATCTTAAAAAAAAAAAAAAAAAAAAACCTGGCCCCAAGTAGTCATTTCTCAAAAGACATCACGTTGCTTTGAAGAAGCTTCATTTTAAAACTACAGTAGAGCCTATATAGAATATTTTTAAACTGCTTATAACTTAGGCAAAGTGAAAAATTTCAGGAAAAAAAATTTCAGAAAAATATGAACTTAAAAACAGTGTCAATACACAAAGTCTAAAAGGCATCATTTAAAAATGTGAATCAAAACCAGTTTGTCGTGAGCAGAAAGAATTACAAAGAGAAAAAGACTCTCAATATGGCTCCTACATAGTAATTTTTAAAATGAACTCATTAGCTTTTTTCATCCTTTGAATTTTGAACATGAATATATTTCCTATCCAAAAGGTAGAAATATATATATTAAAACTATATATTCAAAACTAAGGTACAGGGGCACCTGGGTGGCTCAGTGGGTTAAAGCCTCTGCCTTCAGCTCAGGTCATGATGCCAGGGTCCTGGGATCGAGCCCCGCATCAGGCTCTCTGCTCACCCGGGAGCCTGCTTCCCCCTCTCTCTCTGCCTGCCTCTCCGCCTACTTGTGATCTCTGTCTGTCAAATAAATAAAATCTTTAAAAAAACAACAACAACAACAACAAAAACTAAGATATAGAAAAAGAGAAATCAGCATTATTCAAACATACAGGCAAAGTTCAAAATGATGAGTTCTTTCCATCCTTTGGTTACACAAAATGCTCGGGTGGTACAAAGCTTAGTACACAGCAAACACACTCTGCTCTACTTACCACTTACCATAAAACCATTGTAAGAGTTCACTGCAAAAATAAAATTACTCCAGTGAGAAATCCAGTAATGAACTAGGGGAGGTAAATCATTAAAAATTCTTTTAATAGAAACAGGAAAGTACATTACCATAAATATTAATGCTGTACTATATGATCAGCCTGAGAGACATGACAGAGCCTCAAAAACCACAAAGATCTACTCTGCAAATGACCTAAAGAGATGTCACCAAAACAACTCAGAGACGTCCCAGAAGAAAACCACAAGAGGCAGTAAAAGAATGACAAGAAATTGGGATTTCTTCCTGGAAATAAAGGTGGCCTTTTCTATGTCACAAGAGTATGTTCCTAAGTAATGTAGGAAAGTAAAAAAAAAAAAAAAAAAAAAAAAAAAAAAGGGCCAACCTTTTCCAACATTGTTCTCAATTATTTTTAAAGGATTTTGTAAAATTCAGTACATAAATAAATATCGCACCTGCCTCTTTATTTTCTCAAAACACAAAGAAAACAAAAATCCTGCTGGGAATGTCTAATAAGACTAGATTCTTTACAAACATGCTGCATTTCATTGTAATTTTCTCTTTAATCTTAGGAGAGGACTCAGAGATGCTTGCTATCTACTGCTAAATTTAATCAATAAGTTAATTAGCCTTTTAATCTATTTGGCTTCTTTACATGCATTGATTCTCTAACCCTTCTTTCATCAGAATTCTTACCTTCACAGAATAAAATAACCAGATTCAATCTGTTTATCTAGTAAAACACGAATCAGAAGTTACTAATTGCTTTTGCAGATTTCAAACTTCTGTAACTTTTTTAATGTCATTTAAATTCATGAGACTGAAAAAAAAAAAAAAAAAGCCAGAAAAAAAAAAGGAAAAAGAAAAAAAAAATAACTGATATTTTTAGCCACACAGCAACATATTTAAGATTTAAAGAAAAACTTTTAGGAGTGCTTATAATTTTATATTAATACTGTTTTGTCCATAATTATGTTCAAAATGCCCAACCCTTCTATCAGTTGGATATAAGGAACTCCATCAAATTCCTTTATTCTTTAGTCTAAGAAATTTGTTTTACTTATGACCATTTATCAAAAAGGTCATCAGGCAGGTGTGCCTGAGTGGATCAGGTAAGTGTTTGGCTCTCGGGTTCGGCTCAGGTCATGATCTCATGGGTCATGGGTCAAGACCCATGATCTCATGGGTCATATCACATCAGCCTCTGCGATGAACTCGGAATCTGCTTCAGATTCTTTCTCCCTCTCCTCCCTCCTTTCCTCCCTGCTCGCATGCACATGCACACTTTCTCTAACCAAAATAAGTTTCAAGATTTCTGGTAGCTTACACTGAAAACTGTAGTTAAGAACTAGACAAAATCCAAATATACAGAACATAACCCCAATAACCAGCAAGCCTCACTACAACATAACAATTTACTGAGCCCTTGATATAAAATATGCCTCTAAGCTTAAGAAATGTAAAATGCCGGCAGGCTGTAGAGAGGAAATATCTAATGAGTGCTTTGAAATTACTCTGGGAGTTGAAAAAATTCAAGACTGCATACTGTAAGACCTTTATTTTTCAAAAGGAGGCTGGCACAAGAACAGGAAAAAAAAAAAAAAAATCACTGCTGCTTGACTACAGACCCAAACCGAACCACCTGTCTAATTTAACTAAGCAAAATCACAGGACACTGGCCTGAACAACAGCTAAAAACCAGTCAAACCCTTGACATGGCTTCCCTGAGGAACATCCCTCCTTGGCCAACTTCTCCACAAGGCAGCCGCTAGTGTCTCTGCCTCAGAGACAAGTGCTGCCTCTGCTTCCTGGCATACTTGTCTTTCTTCCCCAGCAAGATTCACAATCTTTCCAGTGCTCCTGGCCCCCCAACCCTAATGGTAGCATCAGCTTCATGAAATGCAAATGTCAATTTCATCTTGCCACTCCCCAGTCTGTAAATCACCCAAACTTTCCAAGAGCCCTTAGGATAAAGAACAAAATCATAGTACAGCCTACAAGATTCTGCAGTTCAGGACCCCATCAACTGCTCATCTCCACCGCCACTGCCTTTTGCTTGGCACCTTCTTGCCACCTTGCTCTCTTTTCCTCCAAGTCATCTGATCTTCCTCATTTCTAGGACTGTGTACAGATGCTCCCTAATCTCCCAGTCTAGGTTTAGACCCTCTTGTTTAATTGCGCTGATCACAATTTTAATTCTACAGTTGAGCATCTGACCATTTCTTCAATGTCTGTGCCTCCCATCAGACTGTAAGATCCATACCTGTTTTGTTAATCAGTATGTTACCAGCACTAGTAATGTTGTGCCCCAGTTTTCGCGTCTGAGAGACCACCAAGGAGCCAAGCACCGAAGCAATCATGTGAGGGTTTATTTGACAAGCTTAAGCTTGGGCCCAAGTATACCTGACACAATGGAGTAGGGACTTGGACCCTGAGCCAGATTACAGTCAGAGTTTTGTTTTTTGTTTTTAAGATTTTATTTATTTATTTGTCAGAGTGAGCACAGGCAGAGAGAGTGGCAGGCAGAGGCAGATGGAGAAGCAGGCTCCCACTGAGCAAGGAGCCCGATGTGGGACTCGATCCCAGGACGCTGGGATCATGACCTGAGCCGAAGGCAGCGGCTTAACCAACTGAGCCACCCAGGCGTCCCACAGTCAGAGTTTTTAAAAGCAGAGTAGGGGTGGACTCAGCGGTGGGTGAGGACAAAGGGGGTGTTCAGAAGGGCTATCAGGGTAAAGAAGACCGTCAGGATACTGAAGGCCTGGTTACTATCAAGCCAAGGCCATTTTTCCCTTTAATGAGGCACTAGCATGAAGACAATTGGGAGTTTCCTGGTGGAATGTCACATTCTTGCTATCAAGCGTCCTTGTTAGTGAGATTTGGGTTTAGAAGAATTTAACTTTATTTACTTTTCCTTCTACCTCAGCCTCCTTCAGTTTTGTTTATGGAGGGGAGGGTGACATTAGGGCTTAAGGAACTGAGTTATTTGTCTCTGGAAATTGGGCTAGACTCGAGGTGGGTACAGCCTTGTTTTTCTTGGCCTCCACAGTATATAGTAGGCACTCAATAACTACTTAAAGAATGAATCAATGACCCTAATGAAAAGCTACTATCTCTATGTTAGAAGTTACTACAAATCAACCTTAAACAGGTACACTGAATTAAAAACAAACGGCAAAAACAGGACTATGCAATTCACAGAAGAAAAATATAAATAGCCAACAAAATTATGAATATATTGCTTCCCCA